CGCGTGTTGGTGAGGGGGAACAGCTTCCGCTGTTGTGAGAGCGAGAGCTCGCTGGGCACGTTGGAGGCAGTAGGACTCTGGTTTCCAAAAAGTAAATGGACTTCTCTAGGCTGGATGTGCTGGTTCCCTTCTGTGATCTTTGCAATGGATGTGGGCTCAGTAATTCAGCTGCTGCTGAATCATGGCTTTGGAAATCTCATTTTCTTTTCTTTTCCCCCTTGTCTAGCAAGCGTTCCCTGTGCCGCTGCTGCTGAGAAGACCGGCCGTCCCCGGCAGCCCCGCGTGCGGCGCACCTCTTCGCTGGACACCATCGTGGGCTCCTACCTGTTGGGACAGTGGCCACGGGATGCTGAAGGAGCTTCTGCTTCGTGCATGAATGACAAAGCTACCCAGGTACGAACGCCTGCAGGCTGCCCGGGACGGCTCTGGGCTGGGAGAGGTTTGCAGAACTGGAACGAGTGGTGTAAACTGGGGGTGAAGAGGGAAGGCATTAAATTTCCATCCGTCCAGCTGCAACTTTCTAGGAAGGCTTCTTTTTTTTCCCCCCCCTTTTGCTTCTCAGCTTCAATTGATTCCACTTTGGTGCAGAGTTAGAATTTCCTTGGCCTTGTTTGGAGGCAGATGGCCTCTGGCTTTCTGCTCCAGTACTGGCTCAATGCTGCTTTTTTTTTCCGGCTTGCAGTTCTGGGCCAAGTCCTTATATAACACTCGTGGGCTGTGTGCCACACGCTGCGAGAAGTCAAGGGTGCTCCCGCAGAAGGGCTCACTAGCACGAAGGGCTCAGCTCTCTGCTGTAGAATGGAAAAGCTCCAGACCTCGAGGAACTCTTAGCAACCTGTAAATATTACTGTACGGCAGCAAACAGCGCTTGCCTATCTGCTGAGGTGAAAGAATTCAGAAGGATAAGAACATCCGTTTGCTTAACAAGTCGTTTATTTAGCACATTCAATCTCTGCTAACTTGCTGTTTGATCTTTGCTATTCAACAATTTATTACTGGGCTGTTTGCAGGAAATTCTCAATTGGATTCCAACTTCCATTGTCCTTTTCCAAAGCGTTCTTGCCTGCTTTTGTTTCAGTTCTAGTGCCCAAGAGCGCTGCTGAGGGCAGAGGGCATGCTGGAAAGGAAGGGAAAGAATTTGTCTCGCTTGGTTTCTGAGGCAGGGAAGCACACTCTTCCTTTCTGTCTTCATCCGCAGCGGTGGGAACGCTTCACCCCAGTGTTTTGGGGCTAATTAACTTTTCTTGCACGTGGCCCTTTTGGGGAAAGGCTTGGAGAGGAGGAATGGAATGGAAGATACACCGTGTTGATCCAGCCTCTGCTGAGCGGGGAGCTGATGGCTCCTGCAGTGAGCAGCCCAGGTGTGCCGCAGCCTGTCATCAGCTGTCTGCAAGTGTCTCGGAAATGCTGATTTTACACCTGGGGAATGAGCTGCGATCTCCCTGTTCCGCACACAAACCTCTCTGTGTGTCAAACAACCTGTCTGTTGGAAGCTGGGAATCCCGTCCTTGGTCCTAGGCTGTTCCTCATCGGCACCTCCAGGACTTTGCCGCTCCTTCCACCTTCTCAGGCTCAGACTCGGGATTTTCTCTGCTGGCCAGTGCACGGTTACTGCCCTCCTCGCTCAGCTGCGGATCAGCTGGCTTGCAGAGCGCTGTAGGTTCGCTATTGCGAGGTGATGAAGCCAGAGATACAGCTGCAGGTGCTCCGCGGCGGGGTGAGGGTGGCAGCGCTGTACATGATCAGAGCTTGTGGTTTTATCTTGCTGTGCAAAGCGTTTTTTTCTCTCCTTTTTCGAAGGAAGCGGTTTTGCCACAGTTAGTACAAAAGGTTCTGTAATTTCCTTCTGCCTTCACAGGCTGCCTCTGAGAGGTGGGACGCATCCGTGCTCTTCTTTTTCAGGCCTTCCTATTGCAAACAGAGTCGCTTTTTCCTTTTTAGGCCCTGTTTGTGTCGTGAGCACTGGTGCTCTGGGTGTAGCGGCAATAGGCTGCAATAAGGAATGTCTCAAACCGGGCTCAGGAGGCTTCCAGCAACTTGAGGAGAGCTTCCATCACATCCTGCAAAGCAGGACTGTTCCGAGCAGCTGGAGCTCAGCTTCCCACAGACTTGCTTCTTGCAGTAACGTGGGATCAGGCTGCGGTCGTGTCTCATAGACCTTTGCCTCTTCTCCCCAGCTTTGTGCGTGAGCTGCTGGGATGTAAAATGACACGATGTTTTGGGATAAAGGCCAAGTAGCGACATTGGAGTTATTTAGGAGGGAATATTGGAGGTAGGAAATGAGATCAGAGGTGCCGCGTGCTGAAGCTGCAGGGTTGGGCTTTGCTGTAGGATTTGGTCTGTCCCTCAGCCCTGGGGTGGCTCAGGGGTGCCGCGGGGACGGCTGCGACCCGACCGCTCTGAGCTCTCAGGACGTCACAGCAACGGTTCCAAATGGGATTTCTTCTCTCAAACCAAGCTGAACACTGTCAATGGACCAGAACAACCCCTGTGCCGCGATGTCTGCTGCTTGCAGCCATTGCATAATGGAACCCTGGAAAACAAATCATGTAACTGCGGGGAATGCGGCGTGCTCTGCCTGCCGTGGTGTGTGCGGAGGGGTTTCCTTCAGAGCCTGTTCCATCTGCCTAGAAATCACCTGTATCCCTTCACAAAAGGGAAACCTGCTCCCTCCTTTGGTTTCAATAGATTTTCAGAGCTGTTTTGAGAGGAGAGGCTGCTGTCATCCCCATGACTCACCAGAGCTGTTGCGGACAGCTGCTGTTCTCGCAGTAGCCTCTGGGGAGATCAGTTAAGCTGCTTGGAGGGGAGCTGTTCTCAGGCCCTTGCACCTTCTGGCAGCCGGTCCCGGAGGACGGAGCAGGGAAGTATCATCCAAAGCCTCCCACGGAAATGGCAGGCAGCAGGGATGCAGGGTGAGTGTTTTGAGAGACGCTGAAATGGGATGTTGGAGGAAAAAATGATGGCTGGGCTTGCAAATGATGTGCCTTGGGACTGTTCCAATCCTGGAGTCTCCGCCGAGAGGGCTGAGTTCAGTGGAAGGAAGTTCACACCCTTTGATCAGATTAATTGCCCTTTCTGATTGCCATTGATATTCAACGTGTCGCTGTTGCGTGGAGAACAGCTGCGTAACGTGGAGCTGAGGCTGGTTTTTCTGCATGAAGAGAGTCAGCTGAGAGCCGCCAGCCCTGCAGACGGAGGGACGTGAGCTGGAGAGGCGGCCGGGTTCTTCCAGCGCTCCGGCAGCAGCAACACTCGCTCTCCAGTCCGAACTCTGGCTTTGGTTACGCCTTTGAACTCCGATGTGGGAGCCTGAGGTCTCAGCAGCGAGTTGTGTGTTCTCACAGCTGGGTGAGGCTTTTCCTCTCGGTAATGCTGCTTCGTACAATGAGTGCCTGAAGCCCTGCGTCACCGTTCAGTGGGCGGCAGCCTGGGTGAGCAGCGCAGGAGGCGGTTGCGGTTGTTTCTCCGGAGGAATGGCTTGGTGCGCTTTATCTCACCGGGTACTTGTGGCGATGAAACCACTGGCTTCTGGGCAGGTCTCTTGCCGTGTGGGTCTGTGAGGTCCAGTTTCCTGACAGGCACAAATCTGGCCAAAGTGACTTTGTTTTGGCAACTATAAGCAGGTGGCTATCTCGTAATGGTGTTACTGAGCAGTGTGTGAGCGGGGGGAGACTGGAACAGGGCTGCGAACGGGCGGTAGACGATCGTTTAGGGCTCTACCGCAGGTCTCTAAACCAGTAACTGTGATTATTCTCAGCCGTGTTTCTCGTCACTTCAGACTCCAGTGTCCTGGCATGACGCGGAAGTGGGGAAAGCCAGCTCCAGTGCTCACAAGCGTTCTGCTTCTTGGGGTAGCACAGATCACCGCAGAGAGGTAAAATAGACCCCTCCCAACGCTTGAGCAAGATCTCTTGGTTGCTAACGTGTAGGAGGCTCCTGCTTGCATGGGAGGGGAGTGGGAGGACAGGACACTGCTGGAGATGAGACCTTAGCCCTTGTGCTCATCCCTCACGCTCTGTGGTTCAGCTAAAGATCCATCTTGTTGGCTTCCTCTAGCAGGCAGCTGTTGCAAAGTAGCTCCCCTGGAACTCAGTGCGTTGCTCGGCGGTGTCGTGGCGTGTGTGGGTGCCAGCGGGGCTGGTTCCCGGCGCTCGGTAGGTGGAAGATCACCCAGATCCACGAGAGGAAGGGCTCTGGCCACACTGCAGCGGGGGAGTGTGTGACGAGGCCTTTGAGAGGTGGCCAGAGCTGCTGCTCGTGTGATTGAAACTGTCTCTATTCTGGCACTTCCTCGTGGGTTGGAAGAGGGGGAGGAGAGAGACGAGGCACCATCCTTCTTGGTGAAGGTGCGCTGGCTTGTCTGGTTCTGTAGCTGAAACTCTGTTTGCTAGATTGCCAAACTGAAGCAGCAGCTCCAGCGAACAAAGCTAAATGGCAGAAGCGGCAAAGAGAAAGAGAAGAGCTCCCCGCTCCAGGGGGACCATGCTGTCCTCGGATCGCTCAGGGTACGTTCACATCTCCCCCTGCTCTGCGGTCACTGTGGGTCCTGGTGAGGTGGGGAGCAAACTCCTTTGGGCAGGTGTCCAGGCTCTTCTCACACTGCTGCTCTCATGCCTGAGAAGGGAATTTTTTTTTTTTTTGTCTTCTCCCACCTCTTTGATGTGTCCCCATGCTCTGACCTGCAGTTAGTGAGTTTACACGACTGCTGTCAGCCTCCAGGAAGGCTCTGGCTGAGCCCTGGAGAGCTGTGGGGGCAGGATGTAACTGAGCTCGTGCAGATATCACTGACTCCTCTGGTTCTGGATGGTTGCAGGACTCTCCTTCAGGCTTCCTTTCGCCGGCTCCCGTTTTGAGGCTCAGCCCCTGCTTGCACAGGAGCCTGGAAGGGCTAAACCAGGAGCTGGAGGAAGTGTTTGTGAAGGAACAGGGAGATGAAGAGCTTCTGCGGGTAAGTGAAGGTCACGAGATTACCCTGAACCTTCTGGGTGGTTTTGGAAATCCTTTCCTCTACTGCCGGCATGTGTTTCTTGGCCATGGGGATGGTCTGTGTCTAGTTCAGTTTGTTCTGGGCATGGAACTGTCTAAATGGGGTCAAGGGGCCGCTGGCTTCCCTCCTGAAACCTTGCTGGTGCTGTGAGAGATCAGCCAGTGCTAACCTCAGGATCGGTGACAGCTCGGTGGCAGCTCTCAGACGCTGGCTGGCATCCAAAGGGTGCTCTGTACTGTGCGGGTATGGAGAGGGGATCCCACCCAGCCCACGGCGCGTTGCGGGGTGCAGGAGGACCGATGTCCTGGTCGCAGAACACTGTCTCACCCCCTGAAGCGGTGGCTCTGCCTGTGTCTGGATCCAGCACCCCGAGGAGCTGCTGCCTGCAGCTGCAACTGCTCTTACACCTCTTCAGGGGTGACGGGGGTTTCTTGCTCCTCTCAGACTTTGCTTCCTCCCTAGATCCTGGATGTCCCAGACGGCCACAGGGCACCAGCGCCTGCCCAGAGAGGCTCTGGAGACACGTCCCTGGCTCTGGAGCCCAGCAGCAGCAGCTGCAGCAGCCTCTCCCTCTCTCCTTCCCCCTCCGTGCCTCTCCGCCTTTCCCCGCCCGCTCTGCTGAGGCTGGCGGCAGAAGAGGCGTCTGTGGTGGACGAGGTGCAGCCAGATCCGAAGGAGAAAGGTGAATGCTGAAAGCAGAGGGGCTGGGGGGGTCCGGAGAGACAAAGGGGGGCCAGTGCTACGAAAACCTCGGTGCAAGGGCTCGTCCCTGTCTGTGTGCTGGGTTGGAAGCTGCAGCCGAGGTGGGGGAGAGGGTCTCAGCCGAATTGGCTCGACTGTAGGGGACTTTGAAAGCTCCAGAAATTATCCTCCAGGTGACTGGTTTCCAGTATGAGATGGAGGATGTGAGCCGGGAGCTACACAGATAAAATGCCGCAGCTTTGGGGTGTTGTAGCCTGCAGCCACAGGGTCTAGAAAAACCTCTTCTGGGTTGAGTTAGGGTGCTGTTGGATTCTCTAAAAATGTCTCAAAATCTGTTCTTCCCGGCTAGGGGAGGGCAGCCCTTCGCCAGTCCCAGCCTTCGCTTCTTCTCCTCGCCCCAACCACAGCTACGTGTTTAAACGGGAACCTCCCGAGGGATGCGAGAGGGTCCGGGCCTTCGAAGAAGCTCCGTAAGTACGAGGAGCTGTCGGCAGCAGAGAACTCGGTGAGGTTGGTCCCGTGGGAGGTGCTGGGTGGGGGCAGCTGAGGCCTCTGGTGCTGCAGTTGCTGCTCGTGCCTCGTTCTGAAAGTAGGGAGCAGCCTCACGGAAAACACTCCCAACAAAAGCGTGGCTGCTCCGGTCCTGCTGAGAAGAGCTGAAGTGCTGACCCTCAGGCACGCTCAGAAGGATCTTGGGATTCCTGGCCCTTCCCAGGCAGTAAGCTTTTTCTCGGCCAGCAGAGCCTCTCGAGGAGAAGAGGTGGTTCTCCTATAAACACGTGTGCTTTCAAAACAAAATTCTCAGTTAGCCAGGCACTTTGAGGAGTGCACAGCTCCAGGTGTTTTCCCTGTTGGCTGCTCAGTGCCCTTGGGAGTGTCTGTTCCTGATCACGTCTGCTCTGTCTCTCTCCTGCAGCTCTCCTGGCCCCGATCAGACTTTCCAGCCTTCCTGCCCAGATAAGAACAAAGTGCACTTCAACCCCACCGGTTCTGCCTTCTGCCCCGTCAGCCTGGTGAAGCCTCTCTTCCCAAACGTGGGTTTTCTCTTCAGGGGTTTTCCAGCTGCTTCCAGCCCTGGCACCGGCACGTTTCCACCCTGCCAGCCCCCAGCCCCCAGCCCGTTCCTGGGGGTGCGGAAGGACGCTGCAGCAGACAGCTTCAGCGAGGTGTCCAAGTCTCCGTCACTGAGTTACGAACACTGGAAGCACGGCCAGCCCGAGGAGAGCGTCTTTCTGGTGGTGTGAAGCCTTTGGGAAGCCAGCCGGCGCCAGCAGCTCTGGCTCCTCTGCGTGTCTCTGTGGAGACGAGTGCCGTGGAGGTGGGACGGGACAGCCCGGAGGCAGCCCTGGGACGGAGAACCCCAGCAGCCTTCCTCCGAGGATGATGGAAATGATGGAAACTGTGAAGCGCAGCGTGCTGCGGGACTCCTCGCTGCCGGAGGGGCTCGTTTCTCCGAGCCTCCCCTCTTCAGAGCACTTTCCTGTGTTGAATTGTCGTTGTTGCCTGTGGGATTGTTTTGCTGGTGGAGAGCAGCCGGGCGCTGCCGCAGGGGTGAGCTCAGAGAATCCGGAGGGGGCTTCCCTCGCACCCCTCACCCCTGCGGCTCTCTGGGGTTGC